GTGAAATGGAACCAGGTATAGATATTAAATTAGAGCAGGAGAAAGACTAAGATTTGAAGCCAATAATTGGTTTCTAAAAACAAGTGTTTTGCACCCTGCTTGGGAGAAGGTGTCTAGTTGAAGCTCTGTGACAAAGAACTATTGGGCACAATGGGACCAGTTTAAGCTTGAAGATGGTATTCTTCTCCAGAGATGAGAAACTGAAGATGGGAAAGTGACGACCTGGCAAACGGTTATACCAAGGAAGTTACGGGAAGTTGTGCTGCGTCAATCCCATGATACTTTAATAGGAGGACATCTCGGAGTTAAGAAAACATTGAGTCACATACTACAGAGATTTTACTGGATAGGTATGAGGCAAGATGTGGAAGACTGGTGCAGGACATGCATTACATGTAGTGCTAAAAGGGGACCCAAGCATACGGAACACCCACCTTATGAAGAGTTGCCTGAGAATATGTCAGAGTTTGTGAAAGTGTTATCGGAAAGGATGGATGATAGCCACCATAAAGTGCGTTCAAACTTGAAAACGTCTGCTGATTCGAATGGTGCAGAACATGCAGTACATGTTGGGCTAAAAGGGGATATAAGAATAAGGGACGTGCTCCAATGAAGTTATATCAAGTTGGCGCACCAATGGAAAGATTAGCCGTTGACATTACTGGTCCTCTGCCCCAAACCGCAAGCTGGAAGCAAGTACATTTGTGTAGTGATGGATTATTTCACCAAGTGGCCTGAGGCATGTGCAATACCAAATCAGGAAGCTACTACTGTAGCTTCGGCTATTAATGATTTCTTCTTCAGATTTGTTATGCCATACGAACTGCATTCAGATCAAGGCCGTAACTTCGAATCAGCTGTGTTCCAAGAATGCTGCAAGTTGTTTGACATCCGAAAGACCAGAGCAACGCCACTTCACCCACAGCCCGATAGGATGGTAGAAAAGTACATTTGGACACTGGTACAGGAATTGACAAAGTTTTTTAATAGTCGCCAAGATGACTGGGATGTCTTACTCCCGCCACTGTTGATGGCCTATAAGACAGTGGAGCATGAAGCCACTGGATACACTCCAGAAAAGTTAATGTTTGGTCGGGAACTTCGGTTGCCAGTGCATCTGTCAACAGGACGCCCACATTATTAAGAGTTACCTGAGAATGTGTCAGAGTTTGTGAAAGTGTTATCGAAGAGGATGGATGATATTCACTATCAAATGCCTTCAAACTTGAAAACGTCTGCTGATTCGAAGAAGTTATATTATGATAACAGATCTACTGAAGTCAGCTTTGTACCAGGAGACAAGGTGTGGTTGTATAGTCTCAAGAAGACCAAAGGGAAGTCTCCTAAGTTGTCTTCTCCATGGGAAGTCCCATATGACACAGTGGATCATCTCTCAGACGTGACTTTCCGGATAAAATGTGGTCGGCGAGGTAAGCTGAAGGTGGTGCATGCCAAC